TACTTACAACAAAGTAATCTAATATTAGTGTATTATGTTATTATCTTTTGGAATTAGGTTTCATTCACAAGCAATTTTAAAGATACTGTTAAATTAATGAAAGTTCCTTAATGAACGATAACTGATTTTCATAGATTCTTTGAAGTAAATTAAATGTTTAAAATAATAAATTGCCAAAATTTCTAATTGTCTTACTGATACAATACAACAACATATACTGTGATACCGAGTAACACATACCAACCCTTTAGAAGCAGAACGCCTTCAATTACAGCAGTACTTTTTACTGTGCATTTTGGGGGTTTGAAGGGGTTGCATTTGGGGAGATTTCTGATACAAGAAAAGTCTTAATTGTGAGAGCTGGAACACAGAGAGCTACAGCACAGGCTTCACCTTCCAGCCCATCACTACTTTAGTAACCTACACTGGTCCCCACCTAAAGTGACCTCTTTTCTTGATGGGAGAGTGATTTCTGTCCCTCTATTGCTTGACATCTTTTCTAGATGCAAACAATTTTGCTCCCAGTAATTTCATTTAACACATCAACGTGCATCTCTCAAACCAATGCTACCCATGAGTTTGCTAAGCAAGCTTATTGACTGCATACTCCTTGTTTGAAGGCAAAAAACACCATTTGCATTGTTTTTCTGGTAATCAGGGTACAGCCAACTTTCTGCTGACATTTCAATTCTATTGAAAGCCAAGATCAGATGCTTCAGGAAAACTTAACCTGCAGAGAGTAAGGTTTTGGTACTCTAGAGTGTAGAAGAGGCTTTCCACCATGCTGTTGAGTCTTCAGAGGATTGTGGCAGAGGAGTGGCTTCAGCTATGATCCACTTTACCTTTGCTTTTACATAGCATCACAGATTGTAGGTAGTCTAACATCACTCTCTCCGTTACACAGACAATTTAGTGGTGGCAAACTCTAATAATGATGGTGTCATTACAATTGTAATTGGTTTGAGTATATGCGTATATGTATACGAATTGTAGATATTATTTGCAGGATTTGTCCCTGCTTATACCAAAAATATATATATAAATACAGGTGTATTTTGTCAACTCTAAAGAGGACAGAGGAAGCTTAAGAGTTTTTGTGTTGTAATCACAGAAAATGTTAAAAGAACAATGAATAATGAGGGTTACATATTTGCTATTAGAATCCAGAATATGCAAGAACTATGTGAGACCGTATGCCCAAGTGTGAAAGCTCAGTTCTTTGAGCAAATGAAGCTAACATCCAAGCATGGCTAGATGAATAGAGAGAGAAGAAGATGCAAGAGCAGCACTATATAATATTCAAATAAATTTAGTTGAGAAGAGGAGAAAGATTGAATAACTTAGAATCAAACACACAGTTTAGAGGTAGAAATTTATCACAGATCTCCTGAGCCGTTCAGTCCCCCAAAGTAAACTATCTCTTTAAAACAGTTAAAAAGCAGTGAAACATGTGAGTATTTCCTAGTGCTTGAGTGATTCTTGTAGTGGGTTGGAGTCTTTCTGGCCTCGTCAGCAATGCCATTAAATTGGAGGAGGCAAAAATGGGTAGAAAACATATTTTCACAGAGATTCACAAGGAGTAGGATGGTCATCTCAAAGGAATTATTCTAAAGTCACCACACAGTTTAACAGGGTTCACAAGGCTTTGTTGAGATGACCTCTGAAAATTAAAACATGGGACATAAAGCCTGTCAAGACTAATGTGTATTGGCAAGGCAGAAAAGGAAGGTTTTGCTTAATCTGTTTGCACGCAACCTTCAGCTTACAGTTGTGAGTTCCTCACTGTGATGTTATCTTGTTATTGAACTTCAAGATTGAGGAGTGCATTCTTCTATCTTTATTATCAAAATGTTGTTAAGCTTAAAAATTGATCGAGGAGGGGGAAGACTGTTTTCCTCAGTTCTTTAATCTGTAGAATTGGGGAGAACATATCTGTAGCTTTATCTCAAGCACAAGCTTTGGACTTATTTTAGCAAGGTCAGCTTTGCCTCAGAAGCGGATCTTATTACTGTTACGTCCATCCTGAAGGGAGGTCCCAGAGTAGCATGAAATTCTCCCCAGATGCAAGGGTCAGCAATAAAGTGAAAACATTGTTAAGGTTGTCATGGAGAAACAAGAAGCAGAATAAGTTACTTCTAGTTCTTGAAATTTACAGTCAGCATTTAGAGTGATCATTTGCTACACACAGAATGATTTTTAAAAATTAATGAGAGTGATATTAGATAGCTAGAAGCGAATGGGTTAGAATGAAGAAGATGGAAAATATGATAAAATATGATAGAAAAAGTCATCGCTTAGTCAGAGAGCCTGCTAAGCTCACCTGTCTGACATCAAACCTAACCTTTAACCGGTAATTGTAAGGCTTAAGAATGCTTGCCTGTATTTGATAGGCTTTTTATTTGGCTCCAGACTAGTCTTATGAAGGTTTCTGCCCCGTCCTTCCTTTAAACCTAAAATGAGCATAGCATTACATATGTATTATGGGTACCAAAACTACAGGGATAGGTCTAAACAGCGCACTTACTCCTTTCCTCTCCCCGTTCTTTGTGACAAAGAGATGAGAATTTAGTGAAGCCCTAGCTTGTCTTTCTTCCTTGCTAGTTAACAAATTCAAAGGAAATGGAAAAACTAAATTTAAAGAGTACTGCCAAAATACTGCAGTTGAACTTCTCTTGAGTATACTAGTGCAGTGCCCAGGTAGCATGCTAACATAATTGCTGATGAGAATATCGAGAAAGAAGACAAAAACCCACACATTTTATCACAGTACTAAAATATCACATTTATTTTTTCTTATCCCAATGTAAATATCAAGTAAAAAAATAAGATTTGCCTTTTGTGAGAATAGCAGCTGAGAACTAGAGGTTATCAACACTTTTTCGAAAGCAAGTGCTACATCTTCCTGTAGTGTCGATTACTCTGAGCTTCTTTATTATGTAGACAAGGATATAAAAAAAGATATGGGTTTTTTTGATAAAATACATTATAAGCTGACGCTGGAATTTTTTCATCCTCCACTTAACTGTCATCTGAAAATAATAATTCCGTAAAGTATGATAGATATTTTAATGACTGTGTTGTTAAGAGCTCTTCTGCTATACCAGTGACCATCTGTGACTGCTTCACCAGCTGTGATTGCTATTTCAGTTTGGGAGGGAGAAATAACAGTGGTATTGGACAGAATTTACAATATAAATTAATAGCCAACTAGACCTAGTGTAGATTATTAATTTGTCTTTGATTAGAAGTACAGACTGAGCAAGAGAAAATTGGTTTCTTTGATTTGTTGGCACAACATGGGTTTGGGAAATGGCCATGAGAAGCTGAAAACAAAATTAAATAGCATTTATTGAAATCTGAAACATGAAAAAGTTGATGGAATTTAGATGAAGAGGATGAAAAGAGCTTAAATGGCACTTGAAAAGGTAGTGAAAGTTTCTTTAAAAAGCCATGACAAATAATGAGTTGATTACTGTAATTGCTAAGGTTAGGTAATAGGGGAGCAGCAAAAGAGGGTTGTAAACACTTTTTAAAAACTTTTACAATTTGTTTACAATATATTAGAATAAACAGAGAAGATAGTGATTTATAAACTCTTAATTAAAATTAATCTTGTTGACATCTGAGTGAAGTAGCTTTTATTTCAGAAGAAATTCCATTTTTAATTAGTATCAGTTAATGCTTGCTAAAGTGCTGTGCTTGCCTGCAGAGGCAGAAGACTCAAGTTCCTTAATATTCTTTTTACTTCTGTTATTAAACTGTGCTAAAGTGTTTCCATATTTTGCTATTAACATGGCTGCATTCTGTAACGGCTGTGGTGATTATTTTTAGTGCATGTGTATAGATCAATCACTTTTCCTTTACTACAGCAAGATTTACAAGAAGCTACTGGGGAGATAGGATACAATTTCCATATAATTCAAATCCCACTTCTTAACGTATCTACATTGTGTGGGAGAGTAAATTTACTTCAAAACTAAAAATAACCTTTCAAAAACCCTAGTAATTTAGGGTGCAATTTAGATTGCGTCTAACCAGTTGTGTTGCTTACTTTCCTAGCTGATGAAGAGACATAGGCACCTCCAAAATATGACTCATCAGCTTAAGGTAGATATTTCTTCCAGGTCAGGGTCAATCACCCTTCTACCATTAACTGTGGGGAAGTCTGGACATGTGGACTGAGCTAGATCCCTATATTTTGAAACTGTTTAATTTTTTTTAAGTTTTAAACTGTAGCTTTGGAACTGGAACAAATTTCATATGAGAAAGCCTTCAATGAAGTGAAGAAAGCTAGCACCACTTTTGTAAACCACAAGACTCTTCCCTGAAAAACTCTTCCCTGAAAATATATATGTAGCAGCAGAGAGCAGGCAAAAATGATAAGGTGGACTAAGATCTACCTGTTATTCCAAGTGTATTGTCACTAGAATGTCGTGCTTTGGTGTCTGGATTTCAGTACACGTTGTGGCTGCTCAGTATGCACTCAGTATCTGGCTCAGAGACTTTTGATCAATTATACAGATTATACATGTATTTATATATGAATATGTATATATGTGCATTTATAATTGTACGTATATTTTTTCTGTTAAATGTTATATAAGAGGAAGGTGTGTTGGTCTATATATATATTCCCCTCCCACACACACGTGCATTGTATATTTATGTATAAGTATACGGAGAGAAAAAAAAAAACTGAAATGACAGTCAATTCCATTTTAAGAAGATAAAGTAGATTTTTCAGTCTTAGGCTAAACAAAGTCCTAGTGAGTGCTTATTTTGCATTAGTTTACTTATTTTCCTGACCTTTAGCAGACTGCCAGCATTTTTTCAGGCTGTCTTCTGCTGCTTTTTTGCAGATACCACAAGCTTCCTCTCCATTAGAGAAATTAGGTGGTTAAGATACAAAGCCGTACCATGAAAAAAATTTAAACAGCTTGTGATTAATTTGCGATCAAAGCCTGCAGAATAGTGATTCAGTCTTGTTTCTTCTGTTGCAGACAAAAGGTTCTTCAAGCATAACTCCATCCGGCACTCAAAAGAAGGTGAAGAGGACTCTGCCCAATCCACCTCCAGAGGAAACAACGGCAGGAACTCAGTCATCATATACTTCTGTGGGATCAGTTTCACGCAGAAGGATTTGTAGGACCAACACTATGGCCAGAGCCAAAATTCTTCAGGATATAGACAGGGAATTGGATCTGGTTGAACGTGAATCAGCCAAACTTAGGAAGAAGCAAGCAGAGCTAGATGAGGAGGAAAAAGAAATAGATGCCAAGCTGAGATACTTGGAAATGGGCATTAATAGGAGGAAAGAAGCCTTATTAAAAGAAAGAGAAAAGAGAGAGCGTGCCTATCTCCAAGGAGTAGCAGAAGAACGTGATTATATGTCAGACAGTGAAGTTAATAATACCAGGTCAACCAGAATAGAAACTCAACACGGCTTGGAAAGACCACGTACTGCACCCCAAACAGAATTTAACCAGTTTATGCCACCACAAACCCAGCCAGAAACACAGTTTGCCCCTGCTACAAGCCCATATGCTCAATATCAGTATTCATCTCCTGCTCTGCCTACTCAAGCACCAACTCAGTTCACACAGCAGTCACATTACCAACAACAGCAGCCTTTGTATCACCAGCAGGTTTCACCCTATCAGACCCAGTCAACTTTCCAAACAGGAGCTACTATGTCCTTTACTCCACAGGCTCAACCTTCACCCTCTCAACAGCCATCATACCAACTCCCATCACAGATGATGGTGATACAGCCAAAGCCAAGACAAACTACATTATATTTGGAGCCTAAGATCACAACAAACTATGATGTAATTCGCAATCAGCCTCTCATGATAGCACCAGTTTCAACTGACAATAATTATGCAGTTTCCCAGCTGGGCAGTAAATACTCTACCTTGGACTTAAGGATAGGACTAGATGAGAGAAACAGCATAGCAAGCAGTCCTATATCAAGCATATCTGCAGATTCATTCTATGCAGATATAGACCACCACAATACACCCCGAAATTACGTGCTGATTGATGATATAGGAGAACTTACTAAAGGAACAGGAGCACTTGGTTCCAGTTTTAGCCTCCATGAGAAAGATCTGACCAAAACAGATCGACTGCTTCGCACAACTGAGGCCAGGAGAGCACAAGAAGTGTCAGACTTCCTAGCACCACTGCAGACTTCTTCTAGGTTACATTCTTATGTTAAAGCTGATGAAGACCCAATGGAGGACCCTTATGAGCTCAAACTTCTAAAACACCAGATAAAACAAGAGTTCCGTAGAGGTGCAGAAAGTCTGGATCATCTGGCTGGCCTGTCACAGTATTACCATGCAGAGGGCAGCTACAGGCATTTTCCAAGATCTGAGAAATATAGCATAGGTAGGCTTACTCTTGAGAAACAGGCTGCTAAGCAGCTCCCAGCAGCCCTCCTTTACCAGAAGCAGTCAAAACACAAGAAAGCTTTGATAGACCCCAAACTAACAAAGTTTTCACCTATCCAAGAAAGCAGAGACCTTGAGCCTGACTATTCAAGCTATATGACTTCTAGCACTTCAACACTTGGGGGAATTACTACTAGGGCAAGGCTTCTTCAGGATGATATCACTTTTGGCCTTAGAAAAAACATCACTGACCAACAGAAATACATGGGGCAGCCACTGACTTCGTCCATTGGAGCAGGCCTTGGGACTGCACTAGTTCCAACAATGAGATCCACATTACAAGATGAAGCAGACAAGTCTTATAGCAGTGGTAGTAGATCTAGGCCCTCATCTAGACCATCCTCAGTTTACGGGCTTGATTTGTCATTGAAAAGGGATTCTTCCAGTTCTTCTTTAAGACTGAAAGCCCAAGAATCTGAACCCTTAGATGTTTCCTTTAGCCATGCAGCACCTTCTGGAAGAACTAAACCCACTAGTTTACCTATTAGCCAAAGCAGGGGGAGGATCCCAATAGTAGCACAGAACTCAGAGGAAGAGAGCCCACTAAGTCCTGTTGGCCAGCCGATGGGAATGGCAAGAGCAGCAGCTGGACCCTTGCCACCAATATCTGCAGATACCAGGGACCAGTTTGGATCAAGCCATTCGTTACCTGAGGTCCAGCAACATATGAGGGAGGAGTCACGGACTCGAGGCTATGATCGAGATATAGCCTTCATCATGGATGACTTCCAACATGCCATGTCAGACAGTGAAGGTAAATTAGGCCTCAGACTGGTATCTTACTATCACAATGCAAATCCTCATTTCTATGCATGTGTCTAATTTTTGTTATACTTCAAAGACTTGTTCTTTTTTCTGTTCTTTGGTGCAGCTTCTGTGTATCTTCTTTTTGGGGGGTTGATTTGTTACATTTCATTTGATTTTTTTTTTTTTACCCTAATAGCAGTTTCTGAGTGGTGTTAAGCTTCCCTAGCATGTTCAATATATTGTTGTTGATTTGCTTTACTTTTGGTTTGCTTGTGGATTTTCCTTTTCACTTGTTGTCCACTTTTCTGTGTATGATGCTGGGTAGAATATTCCATGTGCATTACAGACCCTACCATCAGTCTTTATATGGAGCCCTCTCCGGTGACTGTGAATCATTGAATTTCTTTGCAATAGTTTTTGTTGGGATTTGGAAATAATCTCCAAAATCTCTAAAAAAATTATAGCAATTTTATTTGCATGAAATTTCACGATAGATTTCAAGAGCTGGTAATTCCATCTCCTGATGCACCACTTTAGATCTGTGTTTACGTAGAAATAGTATGATCATTAAGTACATATTGTATATTAGAACCATATAGAGCTTAACGTGATAGAAAAATAATGTTCTACATATGGTTTGTTGAAAGCATCCTGTCATGTGGACTTCTGTGCATTCAGAATTGTGATGATGTAAGATAATTTGTCATCTGGATGGTGCAAGACAATCTCATCCTTCAATAAACTTGCATCAAGTATTCTAGTTCTATTGATGAATTATGCAGCGTAGCTGGTTTTATATGCACCCCGTACAATACGTCTGCCAAATAAGCACAAGAGTTTATCTCTCTTAGGTTCATGAAAGGAACCTTTCTCATGTATTATAAATGGTGCAATTAAAAATGTTTCTTCTGAATAAGTACAGCAGAATGTTAAAGCTGATGTTGAGTACTAAATAATTGAAAATTTTGTATCAGTTTTATTTGAGTCAGTTCAGACTTAATATATTCTAAATTATTTAAAATTCATAAAGAGAGCTTGAAAGAAAATGAAATTAATATATTCAAAATTGTATGCACTCCCTTCACTTTTTCTTATGTGTATTTACTGCACAATAAAAGAGACTTTGCATGCGCTATATTGTCTGTAAATGGCAATGATTGTCTCAAAAGATGCATTTGCATGATTATGAAGTAGTGTGGTTTATTTTTCAGGTTTATATTAACAAAGTTCATTATTGCATTATTGCGTTTTTACGTATGCTAAATGTTTCATAAGCATTAGAAAACGGAATCTGTTTGCTTTCCTGATACTACAATATATTCATGGGTTTTGTTCTGTAAGTTTCTTTTATTTGCAACCTTACATATTTACAACACTCTCATGAAATCTGTGTTCCAGGAGAGGTTCAGCATTATCAGCTTTTTTGATTTTTGTCAGAAGTTTAAGTATTTTCACTGTTCTTAAATTCTTAGCACACAGAGTCATATATTTAAATCTGAAGGCGGTTGAGAGGAACTCCCCAAGTTACGACTCATATCATTCTTCTTAAATAAGTAGAAGTTATCTTGTCTCAAATTGTGACTTGTAAGGATCATTCTAGGGTCACATTGTGAAAGACAGGATTTTGCCTCCTGAAAACTAAGGAGAACCAAACTGAACAAAAAAAAGCCTATTTGGTGCTATTCTACCTCCTATAAACAGGTCACAGCGAATTATATTTCCGCACTAAAGTGCATTATATTTCTGTTATATACTTGTACAAGGCATGCCTGTTCCATTTTAGGCTGAACATGTTTTTGGTTTTAAATTAGTCTCTGATTAGTTACACTCTT